CCCATCCATCCATCCATCCATCCATCCATCCATCCATCCATCCATCCATCCATCCATCCATCCATCCATCCATTTATTATCTTTACCAACTTTTTAGATAGCTCAGGGCAAGGATTTGACAATGATTAAATCTAAAAATGAGACTGAAAGAGCAGGGAACAAAAATGTGGTCATGGTGCAAACTTTGTGCTATGTCATTTGGTCAGCAACAGCATGTAATGTCTTTCCAATGCAGTCTACGGCAAGCTAAGCCAGGGCGTCTATAGAGAATGGCATGTTGGCAGTGATCTGACAGAGTTTAGTGAGAACATGCCTTTGACGTTCATATGTTTATGCCATTAAGCTAAAAGTAGGTCATTTTCACCGGTGACCATAAAGAAATTTGATATACTCAGTAACAGTGAGTTTTTAAAATAGACTGTATTAGAGGTAGACCCAAGGAATTATGAATACTGTACAAAGACCAAGCTTTAATACTGTTTGAGCTAAATAACATTTGCAAAGATTTGTTAAAAGTTTTATCAGAATATCTTCTAAATCAGTAAACAAAGTAAAATGTGTCTTAATAAGCCATATCATTTTATGTTTTGCACACAAATGCAAGCGGGTCATAACTTACAAAGTACATCTGGTGTAACCAGTTCGATGATAAAGTGCAAGATAAACTAAAGCTCTGCCCACAGAGATTAGGGAAAAATGCAAATACACATAATTTTATGTTTCCTTGGGAACATTTAGATTTTGTAAATGCATATTTGTCCAGAATAACTAGCATGAAAAAACAATGAAATTTATGCAACAAATTTTCTAGTTTCTAACCATTAAGGTTTGCTACAGAAAAGCTCGCCTGAGTTTTTAGGTCAAAATGTGGCGCTAAAGTTTTGACTAAAAGAAGGAAAGATGCTTGCACGAGTTCCACCAAGATGCATTCTTCATGTTGCATGAGTAATGACTTTGTGGAAAATTCATGATGACTAACACAGACTGCATCAGAGAGGCTAATCCTGCAAAATGGGAGCCTAAATCCAACAAGTTAACAGTGTCAGTCATTAAGGAAGACACGATCCTTACACGTTTAATCAAAAGGTGTAAATGTCTCTTTTGTTTTGTTTAGGTTTTGATATAGTTTGATTCAAAATAGATTTTTCATGCATTTAATAAATTAAATTGAATTATGTTTGGTTCATTATATTAGCAACAAATTTTAAAATTAAATGTATAATGAAGCACAAAATGTTGATTCAATAGTTTATTCATTGCAGGAAATGTAAGAGAAAACACAATTTTCTATTTAAAACCTCCTACCACCATAATAACATAATGAGGAGAATGGAATTTTCTCGGGAATGATGAAATGATACTTAAAAACACTTCAGCAATAAAACTGACTGAACTACTCTCATTAGCTGCAAATCTCAAAAGAAAGAAAGAGAAACATTAATTTAGAAGTGCTGTAACTCACTTTGTGATTACTACTTGCTTGGACAATTACTGCAGGAAGCACTGATAAAACAATAATTTAAAAAAGCTTATTGTTTTTCATGTATTCCTGTGTTTGAGAGTTGAAGATTTGCTTTTCAAACTTTCTGTTGACATAGAAACAAGCCACAAATATTTATCAGATAGCAATAAGGGTTTAACCGAGTCTGGAATGAAGAGTTTGAAGTGAAAACAATTTCGACATGAAATAAGGCGAAATTCAGTAGGCTAATCCCTTCTGTTGGGCCAAAAAGAACATTGTGAAATCCAAAAAGGTCAAACTGAGTTATCTTTCTCAGGGTCTCTGAAAAAGAGACCAAATAAAAATATCCTCCCTCTGTTCTAAGCTTCAGAAACAGAACAAGGGGCATTTAAATCAGCAAGAAATGACGTTGTGTTTGAAAAAAATGATTAAGCAGTTAAATAAAAAAAAACAAAAAAACAAGCAATACAAAAGTTTACTTTTGATGATTTCATGTTTGAATCCTTGTTTCATGCTAAAGACATATATATGGTCTATATCTCTTCACAGTTTCGTAAGAAATGTTTTATGCTGGTACGATATATAGGTGCATCTAAAAAAATTAGAATATCGTATAAAAGTTAATTTTGTTTTGTCCATCATTTCAGAAAGTGAAACTTCCATATTATATACATTCATTACACACGGAGTGAAATATTCCAAGCCTTATATTTCTATGCTATTTTGATGATTCTGGCTTACAAATAATCTTTCTTGTCTTTTTTCTTTTTTCGGCTGCTCCCTTCTTCAGGGGTCACTACAGCAAAATCACTCGCACAGAGACTTGGCAATTGTTTTTACATGGTGGGGGTTAAGGGCCTTGCTCAATGGCCCAGAGTGGGGTAAATGAGGGTGAAGGCAGGTGTGGGGGTTTCACCTTCCCCAACACATTTTGATGTCAGTCTGGGGAGTTGAACCTGCAACCTTTTGATCACTGGTCCACTTTCTGTAGCCTCTGCGCCACCACTCCCCTGTGGCTTACAAAGAATGAAAAACCAAAATTCACTCTCAGAAAATTTGAATGTTATGAAAAGGATCAATTTTGTAAACTCCTGATGTCACACCCTAATCAGCTGATTAACTCCTATACATGAGCTACAAATGTTAGATTCCTCAAGTCAAACCATACCTGAACCAGAGACGACATCAAAAGCGTCTAACCAGGCTGACGAGAAAAATAACTGGACTGTTGCTCAGTGGTCCAATGTCCTATTTTCAGATGAAAGTACATTTTCATGTCATTGGGAAATCAATGTCCCAGAGTCTGGAGGAAGAGGGGAGAGACTCAGAATCCACGTTGCTTGATGTCCAGAGTGACGTTTCCACAGTCAGTGATGGTTTGGTGCCATGTCATCTGCTGGTGCTGGTCCACTGGGTTCTCTGAAGTCCACAGTTAATGCAACATCTTCCAGGACATTACAGAGACTTCATGCTTCCTTCTGCTGATGAGCTTTATGGAGATGATTTCATTTTCCAGCAGGACTCGGCTCCTTCACACACTGACAAAGGTACCAAAAGCTGGCTATGGAATATTTTAATTTTATGAGACATTGAATTTTGTTTTTCATTGTTTGTAAGTCATAATAATCAAAATTACAAAAAATAAAGGCTTGAAATATTTCACCCTATGTCTGTCTATGATAACTATATCTGTCTGTCTGTCTGTCTGTCTGTCTGTCTGTCTGTCTGTCTGTCTGTCT